TTGAATTGCGAATTGAAGGTCTTATCGGCGACTAAAGCAGAAATTGATTAGTGTTATATGCTTATTAGAATTTATGTGATTTTATGGTAGGTTTAATTAAAATTTGATTTGGGATGATTAAATTAGATTAAATAATGTTGATTTACATTAGTTTGATTATTTATGTAATTACCACTTAATGGCTTGACTCTAGACCATCCCTTTCCTACTTTATTCAAGTTTGTTATATCATCCATTTCATCTTTTGAGACCAAACCGAGAAAGAGAGGGAGAGTGAGAGTATATTGGTTTCCTTGAGAATTTGGCTAGGAGAATTAGAGGGATTGAAGAGAGATTGCATAATTGAGCTCGTATACCTTGAATTCAAGACCTAAGGTAGAGATTTCATCCTCTCATTTGTGAATTTAAGTTGTATCTTGCATGGATCATGGAAATTTGGAGTTTAAAGTCAAGAATTAGTTTAAAGTGTTGAGTTGAGAGTGAATTCATGCATGCATGTCCTTATTTTGGAATTTAAGGTTGCTTTTCATGGAACTCTCACATACATGTTCATATCTTTGTTTTGATCCATGAATTCATCATGATTTTGAGCTCAACATTGCATTTGATCTTGTTTTGGAACACTAGAGTTCATGAGAACTCATGCATGTATGATCTTGCATTGTTCTTCATGCTTACACTTAATTTTTGTGTTCAATTGGCTTACCTTTGGGCTTGATTTTACAAATGATCTTCAAAAACATGTTGTACTACGAGTTTCCAAGAGTTTTCCAGAAAATTAGTCCAAGGGGATCGAATTTGAAGCTTTAAAAGTTGAGTTTTGAGCTTGAGGATCAATCTGGAAATTCCAGATTTTGGATCCACGCTCGAGCAGGGGACTTCACGCCCGAGCGTACACTCTGAGTACATGCACTTCCGCTCGAGCGTGGAAAGTCACGATCGAGCGTGAAATGCATATGCCCAGAAGTTCATGTGTTTTGCAATCCGCTCGAGCGAGAGAATTCACAGTCGAGCGAGGACCTGAGTCTCACGCTCGAGCGTAGGTCGAGCGCCCATCGAGCGTGAAAATCGCACATCCAATACTTTTCTTGAATTTGCAGTCCGCTCGAACGGAGAAAGTCACGCTCGAGCGAAGCTCTTTTGTCTGCATGTCCACTCGAGCGTAGAAAGACACGCTTGAGCGTGGACCCCTGTTTCAGCAAATTTGAAAAGTGTTTTAAAGTACATCTTTGCATCCTCTTTCCATCCTAGGCATTCCTAGGCCATGTTTAAGGCATCTTATTGAGGATATTGATGTAGAACCACACCAAGTTGAGTTAAGGGGCTAAGTTATTGATTTCCTAGTGTGTAACTTAGCATGTGCTTGTTCTATTACTGAGTAGGGTTGGCATCCGAGGACGCTCATTAGCTTGTCTGTAGCCCGGAACTCTGTGAGTAATAATGTTGTAAAGATATGTTCAATTATGAATATTTTCTGAATGATCAACTGTACTGCTTTCT